GAATGCCGTGTGACCACCTCTTTAGAGCCCCAGCCCAGCTCCACCTGCCCAAGGAAACAGTCTCAAGGTTGCTTCGGTCAAACGTGCAGATTTCCAGAGGTGGGCAGCTCTTCCAGCAAAACTCAGGGAGTTTGACATTCCTTTTTCTTAGGAATCCCGTTTCCCACTAAGCAGCTCCCCACTAGAGGGCAAGGCTGCTCCACGGCAAGGCGGCTAACTGCCAAAAGACCAAAGCATACTGGTGACTGAAAAGGCAGCAAAACCTTCAGTCTTGTCACGTCAGTTGAAGAAATTCCTCTAATCTACTCTCAAGTATCCCCCACGGTGTTTCTAATCTCATTTGGATTTCATCTGTAGCACTGTACAACGTAATTCTGAATATAGCTGCCTTATTTTATGGCTTGGCTGTGATGTTTTTTCACTTGTACATCACCAATTGCCTTTCTCCCTCCAGACAAACAGAAACCAGGGACCTCCATGGTATCAGAGAGGTAAGGCTGCTCATACTATTCACATCCTATTGAAAAATGCTAATTTTATCCCAGAACTAATTCTAGCAAGGAAAAGAGGCTGCTTTGGTTATTTCAGGTGGAAGCATTTAATGACATCTTTGAGGCAGGTAAAAAAAACCCAACAAAATCAGCTTTAAATGCTGGAAAGAGGCAAGGGGCACAGGGAGCAAAGTCCTTAAGTATTTAGGTGCCAAATTTGCAACACCAACAGTTCCCAAATACCCTTAATGATCATGATCCAAGTGATCTGAAGCCACTGAGGCAGGACAGATCAGAGCAGAGGACGGTGCCCCTGAGGCACCCTAATCCCCAAAGCCACCCAGTCCTCGCTGGCCCTAAATGCGTAACCCAGCCCTCAGGGTAGGGAGAAAAGGGCAATGCACCTTCCTAACAGTGCTCTCACTCTTAAGAGACTCTGGCAATACACGAGCAGCAGTATCACATGTGAAAAACATCCAGGGCTCCCTTTGTACGGCAAATAAACTGAAGGGTATAGGACAGAGGGACACAGTAACGTTTCCTTTTGTTCCAGTTCTGGTAACTGGGCACTACGGATGGCCCCGAATCAGCACAGCAGCTCACAGAGCAGTGCAAATCAACCCCGGTCCCACGTACCAGCCAGCCACAGCCTTGCCTGTTTGCCTCCTGTTGTGTGCAAAGAAACCACCCCCTCTCATCTTCTGGAGTAGTTAACACTGCCTTCTCTTCCTAACAGCTGCTCAGCAGGCCCAAGCCAGAAGGATAACAGCATCACCCTCATCTCCATGAAGAACATCAACATGAACAACAGCATGAGTTACCCACCGTCAGAGAAGGTTTCCCTTTTAAGCCCTGCTTTTTAGAGTGTTAGCTGGGGATTATTTCTCTTGCTGGGTGAGGGCATGCCTTTGAGGTATTCCTTTGCTCTCTTACTCCTTCAGAAAGATAGCAAAAACCAGCTGCCATCAAACTCCTAAGGGTCCAGACTGGTTCCAGTGAGCCTGGTGAAAAGTTTGGGTGCCCCTGTCAGGTTTAGCCAAGCTGCCTCAACTCAAGGTGTCAGGTGTACCTCACGTATACACGTGCCCTCAACTAGGGCCAGCCATCAGAGCTGGAAGGGTTTGTCACTAGATGAAGAAGTAAATAAGGCAGATTTTGAGAAATCAGGGCCTCACCCTTACCTTGGGCTAGAGTCCAAGCTTGCCCACACCTGCTCCACAGGTGATGTTGGAGCACATTCCCATCAGTACTCTCAGATCCATTCCACACCAGTAACTCTCACTGTTCTAAGTTATTTTAAATCTCAGCTAGCACTGGGATTGGGTTGAGAGAAAAACACTGCTGAACTCCTGCTGCCAGCCCAAACAGCCCGCTGATGCACCATGTTTTATTCTTTTTGCAGGTGCTATGAAGACGAGAGCCCAGAGCTTGAAGCCGACACGGGACAACCAGCGGTGACTTTCTAGGTTTTTTGTGGGTTTTGTGTTTTGTTTTTTCCTTTGGGGAAAGAGCAAGGGGGGACTTTATATATAAATTATTATGTCCTTTCTGACCAGTACATTTACAGTAGCAACCCACATAGCTTCCCCACCTGGGGGTCTAAGGGCTTTCTCCAGTTACAGCCTGCCACGCACAACAATTGATATCTAACTCTGTCTTTGATATGCCTTCAAACACTCAGATTATTCCAGCAGCAAGAAGCACCAAGGCACCATCTATTCCTCTAATAAACTGCTGCCTTAGATTTATGGCCTTTATAGTCTGTGCCAGCCAGTCACAGGCTCGTTAATCAGTATAGCCCCACACTGAGACAAACCTGTGCGTTAGAAAAGCAGAATCTGAAGCTGAAGGCCTAATGGGACTTAAACAGCCAAGTGCTAGGCCAAATCCCAGCACAACTGCTGAAAGCCCCTTATCTTTGGTGTCCTCATTGATCCCACAGCAGTGGGGACGACCACATCTACCTACCTCACAGGGATGTTGTGAGGCTATGTTAATCGATGTCTGTAAAGCATTCGGAGAGCCAGGAATTAAAGGTGCTGGTGAAATGCAAATTGCAATCTCAAATACTTCATTTTTAATAACTGAGCTTCAGGCAGGCAGATTGCCATCTTCCCACAGGCCCAAATTGCTCAAAGAAGACATCTTAAGCGTATAGAAGAAGGTCACTGCACAGAGAGTTTTATCTGAGTGTAAAAAGGAGTGGCCACAAGCAAAATGCTGAGCTGCTTCAGTTCCTGAAGTCTGGCAGCCTGTGTTTGCCAGGAGAGCTTCCATCTTCTCTACTACCACTTTCCCAGAGCTTCCTGACAGACCAGAAAAGCAGCATCTCCTTTGCACAGAGCAGCCCAAGCACCCACCTTACCACAGCACCAAGAACCCGCAAATCACCACGATAATGAGAACAACCCTCCTCCATTAGGCTCACATTCAGACCCGAGCTGGCGCAGACCCAGCTGCCAGTCAACTTTTACCCCTGCAGCAAAATCCTTATTCTTATAAGCCAAGCGACCGACTGAACATGATGGAGACGTCAACACCCAGCCTCCACGTGACCATCAGAAGAACGGATGTGCTGCTGGGTATTTCTAGAAGTCTCAGCTGCCTTATTCAGCAGCGCAACACAGTAAAGCACTAAACTGCGCAGCTGCCTTCGCCTCTGCCCATCTTTACCGTGGCTTCTGCTTGCAAGCTTCAACAGCTCCAGAGCACCTCATCTATCCGGCAGCAGTATGCTGAGCTATTGCCTTCTCCTAACACGAGCATCAACATCCATCAAGCTGGAAGGTAAACTGTTAAGGACAAAAAGATCAAGGCAAGCAATCAAAAGAGGTATTGCTGCACCCATTCCCTGCACAGTTCAATGAAACATAGTAATTCAGCCTGATTTAATTTTATAGGATGGATAAGAGATGTTTACTGGAATGTGCAAGGCTACAGGTGGCTGTGCTTTGCAGCCGGCAACAAGGCATTCAGCAAAATACAAGGAACATTTTCATGGCTCCTGCTAAGATCCAACATGCTTTCTATCTCTAACATATCCACCAGGTAGTTTGACAAGGCATTTTTTAATAAACAAAGGTTTTCAGGTAAAATTCCTGAAAAGTAAACCAACGTTGCCCCACTGACCCAGGCTCCAGCAGACTGGTGAATCTGCATAAGCACAAGAAAGATCCGAGGTGATTCCCAGCTAAGCGAACCCAGGCAGCTCCAGATCCCAGTGACCTGTGTCGCAGCACACAGAGCCCCACGGCGATGTTTTTAACCCCAGCAGGACAGCGCAGAGCAACACCTAATATCAAATGCTTCAGTAACCATCAAGCTTTAGCTTCTTTACTGTGAGGGTGGTGAAATTCTGGAGCAGGTTGCCCAGAGAGGTGGTGCAGGCCCCATCCCTGAAGGCATTCAAGGTCCGGTTTCATGGGGCTCTGAGCAGCCTGACCTAGCAAAAGCTGTCCCTTCTTGCTGCAGGGGTAGGGCTGCATGGCCTTTAAAGGTCCCTTCCAGCCCAACACATTCCATGATTCTGCCCTCCCCTCCACACTGACCTCTGAAGGATGGTCCCACGCTTAATTTCCCCTCTTTTGCGCTCCTCCTTCCCACACACTCTCGAGGCAAATAACCCGAACCTGCTCTGCTTGAAAACCCATCCACCACCAAAAGCAAAGGTCCAACCTCGACCTCGTTCAGAGGAAAGGCCGGGTAAGAAATTAAACTCGAGTGAGTCGGGTTGTCATTGGCACGTGGGGAAAGAAGCCGGGGCGGGAGCAAGGCAGGAGCGCGGGGGAAGGAG